CTTCTTCCTTCTTTCAGTGCATTATTGCAAGCACATAGTTATTCTTTGAAACAGAAATAGCTCAACAACTGTGACAATTTCTCTCGAATGTGTAGCATGATTTAAAACCCTGGATCAAATTTCGTCAAAAACAAGACAATATTTATCGTTTTCTTCGATTGCCGTGGTGTTCTGTATCATAAATTTCTAGGCAGAGAGCCCTCAAGTACTTTGCCCTAATTAAATAAACCAAACCATCTACCAACTGATCAAATTGCCAACAAAGATATGAATGTGTTGCGGGGTTTACATGAAACTTCGTAGTAGACAATTTGGATCTGTATCGAAATAAACATGGATTCTTCACCACGATAATGAACCTATTCGCAGTGGTCTTGTTGTTTCTGAGCTGTTTGATCAAAAATTCAAAAACATAATCCTTCGCATTCAATCATAAGGCAGCGTGTGACTTTTTCTTATTTCCATGGTTAAAACTGTTGTTTCGTGTTTATCATTTTCAATAAGTTGATGTTATAAAATTTTCTCGTCAAGTGATGAATGGATTTCACAAAAATGATTACAAAAGTTTTGAGGGTTGCAAAAAACGTTAGCATAAATGCAATGCCACCGAAGTGAATTACTTTGAACCAGCTGTTATGAACTATCAGTTTGAAATCACATGTGTTATGGATTCATTCCTGGTACTTTATTTTATTGGAGATATTTTCATAATTATTTTCAGCAATATGCATCATGATTTATTTATTTTATTACATATATTTTGATAATTTTTTTCAAGAGTATGTATCACGATTTACTTAGTTGACATTTCATGCTTTTCTTTCTCCAGGACTTTGGAAAACACCCGCAAACACGAGTTTTTGTTCAAGAATACATGCTAGCGGTTAATTGTCAAAATAAAGGAGAGAGTATCATTAGAAGTTTTGTTGAATGGTAAGTTTGAAGTATATTTTCTTCTCCTTCCAATGATGTGCCTTTAAGTTTCATTTTGTAATATTTGTTTATTTTGTTAGAATTCGTTTTATTCTGTAGATTTTACATATAATACCTAGCCTATGTTTGTTTAACTTTTTTGTGTGTGAATTTTATCTGCAGAGATATATGTGTATAATTCAAAGTAAAAAACGAAGCATGATATCAAGTTCATGAAGTCTATAATTATATTTAGTAAAATTTATGGTTGTTCTAAAGAGTAAAAACACAAAATTTTAACACATCTTCCATGAGAAATTGACTAAGATATTTTGCAGAGACATTAGGATTTTTTTAAAGCAAGAGAGATTGAAAAATGGATATTTCTGTTAATTAATCAGTTATTTTATATTACGATTCTTTACTGTCACTTCTGCCTGCCCTTTTTCCTCTTCGGAATGCAAATTTTAGCTTGCGTGTATAGTGAGGGTTTCAGATTGTCTAAATGAAGGTATGTTCTGTCTGCTTAAGGCCACATTACTAGTAGATATTATATGATGATCATTTTTTGTCTACTGTGTTGTTTTATTCTTGCAAATTATGCTGTCACGCCCGTGTAGGTTAGAACTAACTTGCGCGTTTAAATATCTTTGCGTAGCTTTTGGCTAATTAAGACTTAGATTTAGTTTAATTTAAAATTCTACTTTTGCTTTAAGCCATAAATGCTGGCTGATTTGTAAGCACCGAGAATGCATTCCGTTCAACTAATCTGAATTCTTAAGAAGTCTTTTAGACCCTTAGTACGGCTCTGTTTGCTTATCTAAACACAGCGATCAGTCGCTTAGACGTCTATTAGAGGATTTGCTCCAAGTTACATTTAGTCAAAAAGCAAAATCCCTACAACTTTTATCATCATTTTCAGTTGCTTTAGGGATCGGCTAAAACTAAATTACGGTAATTTTATTTACATATGATATGAGAAACAAGTAATTTTCACACAAGCAATTTTAAAGTCTTCCATTGCTCGGAAATATTTTTTAAAATTTTCTCATGCAATTTATTGTTTAGGAATCATAACCTAAAATAATATAAAAATTCATTAAATTAAACCTATTTTTAATTTATGCGCATAATATTACAAATTGACTATATCACAATACTAAAATCTGCCCCTATTTTCAAGAAAAGGAATTCTGTATGATTTTGAGAATAAGATTTCTTTTTCGGTAAAAATTATATTGATCAATACTTTTCATAACACTTTGCACAGAAATACTCTCATTTAGTTTATTAACTTTATAAGGTCTCCATCCTTTTCGCATGCCTTCGTGGCGTACCTGGAACTGAGTACGCGTATTCCGAAGTTCGAATCCCGTCGAGGGCACGGCACATTTTTCACGCTCCTGCATCGATATAACCTAATAACTCTACAACTTGAGAAGTCTTCTCAGTTGTATTTTTATTTTTAGTTACATATAAACTGAAATATTCTGCTCTTCATTTTGTGTTCGACCCCTGAATTTGATCTTAAATTTTAAAATTAAATATTTCAGCCGTTTTTTTTTCCGTAAGGAAATCAAACTTACTGTGTTTTATTTTTTTAGAAAGAACATAAACTTCCACTGTGTATAATTATAGGAACCTGGGAATAGTATAAAATGCTTTTGAGTTTTGGATTTCTTAATTTTACGAAACTAATTCTTTAACTTTAAAAATGTCACAAAAGGAACATTTTATGTCAAGCATTTTGTAATTTGAAGCATATGTCTTTGACCAACTGTAGCGAAACTAAAAGCTACGTAATGACTTTTATGAACGCGGTATACAGGGTGTCCCCAAAACCTCGACTTTTATTCTTTAAACATGATCGTAGACATATAATGTAAATGACAAAGTTACGTAAAAAAGGTACAGATTTTTATGAAAGGAATTAAAATTTTCAAAGAATTAAATTTAAAGAAATACAAAATTTACATTTTTATGCGGCCCCTGTACAGAAAAATTCTCAGTTTGCAAAATGTGTCCCATACACTAACAAGGTCATGTACAAAATTTCAATATTTTATCACAAAAGTCGCAAAAATGTGAAATTATCTAAATGCTGACTTAAACCATTTTTCTACGTCTGTATATGATTTCAGGAAGCATGGTTTTGTAAATTTGTAAATATAAAATAAAAAATAAGCGCTATATTTTATATGCTTATGAGGCATTTTTGAATACCGTCATCTGCAATCTAACTGTAAGCATTTACATTTTAATTTATAATCCACTCTCACCAACTTTGTTTCAACATATCTCTGCGAATTTTTATGATAAAATACTGAAATTTTATATATAAACTTATGGGTGTATGAGATACATTTTGCTAGCTGAGAAATCTTTTGTACGGGGGCCGTATAAAAATGTAAATTTTATATGTTTTAAATTTAATTCCCTGAAAATTTTAATCGATTTCATAAAATTCTGTACCTTTTTTTACGTAACTTTGTAATTTGCATTATATGTTTAGGATCATATTTAAGGAATAAAAGCTCAATGATTTTGGGACACATCGTTATTATCTTCTAAGATATGCACAGAATTTTGGTATTATCTCCTTGTTCATCAGTATTATCACACATCTTGTTTCAATAGTACATATTTGGAATTTTATCACGCTCAAAAGTAAATCATCTGAATTTTATACCATTGGGAGAGATACATACCCATTGCTCTGGTAATAAATAGTTGAGACTATAGTAGGGACAAATGAGAATCATCAAGGTTTTATCCAACTATGAAAAATGCTGTGTTACATTTAAAGAAAGATCAGAAATTTTATCAGTTCAACGGAAATAAATTGAAAATTTGTGTTAATTGTTTCGTAATTAGATGATAATAATAATTATGGCATAATATTTTATTTAAATTCGTTTTTTTACTTACTTCAAGAAAACATCTTTTTTAAAGTTTAAATAAAACTCTTTGGAAAATTGATATTGGCTGAAATTAAAAAAATTCAGCTTTGATTTGTACTTTATGGAAACAATTGGAGATGTTATTTCAGATCATGAAAGATTTAATATTATTTAAATACAGCGCGAAAAAGTCCTTGAAAAGTAAAAATTCTGAATAATTAAATTTTCATTTTTGTTTTTTTTAGTTATGAGAAAAATGTTTCATTACTTTACGTACTAAATTCAGTGAGATATTTTCACCCAAGACGAAACTATTAATCATTGAATCGAGTAATTTTGATTTTGTAGAAGTAATTAAATTTTATTTAAAACCCTTGAATTCAAATTATTAATAGTCACATATAAATGATCCAAGCCAGTAAATTCGTTCATGAATATCTCCAAGCGTTAAGTTAGAGAATCTTTTATTTTTAACTAATTATAGCTTGGTGAAAATTTTACTATATATATTATTTGTATTTATGAATATTTTGTTCTAGAATATTTATTCCACAGGAACCGTATAAAAAATTATATACTAATTTACAAAGCTCTGAACTACTTTCCTTTATAAAATTCTTTAACTTATTTTAAGATGTTTTCATAATATTTAGTATCAGTATGATTAAAAATAAAGCATGTAACATTTTGTTTCTGAAACATATGTATCGTTCATATTTCATGTGATTATTCTCTTTCTGTTTGCCTAGTCACAAATATTCTTTCTCTTTAGCATGCACGGTCTAGGAAGCACGTGTCCCCATCCTAGAGTTATACACAATTTAGTTGCCATCTGTGTCGCAGCCATTTATACCATTTTCGAAAGCAGACGATCGTAAGTTCAATTTTAGCATAGCATTGTCTTTATACATAAATACATATCTTTATGTTTATTCGGTATTGGCGCATTAAACAAATTGTCAGAGATGGACGAGTATAAAATCCCTAAAAACCGTCTTCCCAGTACGAAATAGTAATGATAAAATAGAAATGTAAACCAAAGGATTATCCTAATGAAAACATCCTAAGGAAATTTGAAAAGGTATGTGCTTGAAGATATATAGTTCCTCCCCCCCCCCGCATTCTATTCAGCAATGTAGACGGTCACCGTCTGTCACATGATTTGAATTACGAAATTTCCCCATTTGCAGTGAAGAATGCTAGCCTTATACTCGTAGTTAGGAACTGCAACAATTGCAATTTACATAAAATGAATTTTGGCCCTTTCGGAAAATTTTGAAAGCTGTAGACAGTGAAATCTGAAGCTCAAGACTAATTCTACTTGTTGCTTGTCTCGGATTTTGTTGCAAGACACCAGAATATATTCAACTTGTTCTTCAGATATACAAGAGGTCGCCAAGGACTTTTATCGTTACAGCAATAGCACGTGCTTTAAAAAATTACATCAGCTGCAGTTAAATTTCCTCTTTATAAGTTATATTTAAAGTTAGATCAAAATTTACGTTGAACCACAGAAACAAAATTCGGTTTTTTGAATTCTAAAATGAAACATGGTCTTCCTTTAAAATTAAGCCCCCCGCCCCGAAATAAAAAAAGATCTTAATTTGGTCTAGATTCCTGAATAAAACTCTATCGATTTCGAGGGCGATCAGACACAATTTTTCTTTCTTTTGAAGAGAAAATACTTTTACAAAAATGGAAGACTACTATTTTAAGTCAAAAGCAGTAGGCAGCGCAAAGGAAAAGAATATAGCGCCATTTTTGAAGAGAAATGACAATGAAATGAAAAAACACAGAAGAAATTAGAATATAGAAAGCCTCGGAAATAAATGTATTGTAATTAATATTGCTAACTAAAGGCGATAAACTTTTGTGACTGTGGAAATCTCGAGATCGTTCTAACTGACAAATAGAAGAAGCTTTATGGATAAAGTTTGCCTAATTAAAGTTAAAATCTGCGATTAACTATGATTAGATATAGAAGAGAAACTTTTTCCTCCCTTTTTGAACATGACATTCGTGTTTTTGGAATAAAGATTTTAACCCTTTTTTAATTTGGCGGATCAAAGCATATTGACAACGACATTTTCAAATTACATTGACAAGATAAGCTATAAATTCTCTAAGAATTAAAATATGTCTTGACACTCTCGAAATTGACTTTTATTACAAATCTAAGCCAAGTTAAGGCTGCTTTTTTGCTTCGTTTTAAATTTTACATTAGTTTATTTCTCTTCCAGTTTGATGTTCTCCGTTGCAGACGAGGCTATTTTATTTTCTTAGTCACACGATTTGCCGCATAGAATGCTGAGTAAAAACGTGATATCTGTACGAACAACGCACATATTTTTTCAAAATTCATCGCAAAAGCTTTCACGGTGTATTTTTACTCATTAGTTAATTTTTTGTTAAAAACACTGTCTTATTTCTTCATTTTTAAAAAGATAGTCTTCCATTCCAGAGCATTTTTGGAAGTGAATGAAGCAAAGAGCAGCTTAGAAGCGAGCAGCTACTTGGAATGGGAAACTAAGTTGGATTGCTTCACTTCAATTTTTTCTGTATTGTAAGTACATAAATTTTTCAAATTTATCCACATTTCTGAAATATGTCTCATTTAAGAGCTAAGTTGAGTTGTTTTGAATCATTAAACACGTTTAGCATTCTGTAGCTTTGAAAGGATTCATATCTAAATTTAGTGCATTTAAGAACAAAAAAAAATGTCTAGATAATAATGTAACTTATATATTATTTTGCGTACGTACTGGTGAAACGAATGTCTGTCTGTATATTCTTCGAGTACGCATTAGTGAAAAGAAACGGGACCAATTTACTGAGTTATTGTATTTCATAAAAGGTTTAGGACATTAAAATTAAAAAAAAAAAATCACTGCTTAAGATAACAAAATTAAAATGTACTACCAAAATTTAGAAATTAATTTTTGACATGAAACTAATGTATAGAATATATTTAGGCCAATGAGAAAATGGCCTAGAAGATAAGAGCACTAAAAACTGTTGTTCAGTCCAAATTTGAATATCTTTTAAAGGGATCGCTGCGTGGGTGTTTCCACGTGTAACGCGAGTACGAGCCAGTTTTCCTTAGAACAACTTCCTCAAAGACATCATTCTTTTTAAGCAGATAATATTCATGTATTTTAGTATAATAAGATACATCAAACCAAACTGCAGTATTTAAAATTAAACAACTATTTACATTGTGAAATAAGAAAAAATAATAATTAAATGTCATGATTTGCTTAAACATGATCAGATATTTGGTTGCAGATAATAATTTTCTGTACATATTTTAAGTATTTGCATTTAACAGTCATTATTACGATCTAAATTAAGTATAGATTAGAAATGCTGTAAGAAACTGATAATTAAAATAAGGTTTTGTCATGAAAAGTACAACTGTTAAAGTACTTATTAATTACCATTCATTATTTTTCTTTGGGCCTTTTCATTTTTTCTTTTTTTTTTTTTTTTTAAATATTTTTTTTACTTCTAATGAATATCTTTATAGTTATTCCGGCCGCGCTTTGAAAAAAATGTGGAACAAGTATTGTTATCTATTGAATTATCTTGAAACAATGAATTACATTGTATTCTTAAAACATATAGACACATTTTTAATGTGACGCCATTATATGTTCCACCACTGATAAAAAAAGACCAAAAGATTAATCACTAGTAAGAGGATTGGCGAAATGTTACTAACTTTCGTTTTGCCTTTTCTAATGTTATTACAGTTTCCCAATGATTTCTTTAAATTGATTTCCGGCCCATTTAACAGATACCTCGTTTGCTAGATACCATGTAAATGTCCGTTTTTCACTATTTTAAACAAACTACTAATAAATGCTTCTTAATTTAAGATAAGAGACTTGACGATGTGATTTCATGGCAGTTGCTATTTTCATATTACGTTAATGTGGATGGATAATTTAAATGACAATGGAAAACTCGAATTTGTATCCGGACATAACATTAATAAATAATACTTTAATAATAAAAAATATAATAAATAATATTAGATAGATTTTTTGGACATCCTCTGGTTGGTGAATAGCCTGAAACAAAACCGAAACATGTAATATCTAATTCAGCTTATTAAAAATACTTCATATTGTAAAACATAAAAATAAAATGGCAATTTTATGATAAACTTACCGTTCAATCTACTATGAAAACCCTAAACGAGCTCCCTCCTATAGAATACCTACGGAGAACCTGAATGCATATTAAAGTTATTTAGAGGAACAGATTTCTGGACAAAATAATAAAACTTATAATATTATATACATAATGAAAATAATAATAAATTAAATTAATAAATAAATAAAATACAACATAATAAATTATTATACGAAGCACGATGAGGAGCAGTGATTTATCTTTATCAGCATTTAATGTATTCTCAATGGAACTTATAAGGCAGTGATGGCGAAAATATGGCATACGTGCCGCAGTCGGCACGCAGACTCATCAGCCGGTACGCGACTAAAATATTACTTTCTTAATCAATAATCACAATGATACTATGTAATTTAAATAAGTGTTTTAGTCTGTTCTTGAACGTTTCACTTACTTATCGCATAATGCCCATAGGGTCTAAGCCAAGATATAAGATTTTCATATATCGCCATAGAAATAATATACATGTTTATTGACCCAATTTAAGACGTTTCAATTGTTTGTGTCAATCATATTACTTGTTACATGGCAAAGAATATGGCAAAATTGAAGCGGTTAATGAATTCAAATTTATTGCAGACCGCCAGCGAGTTTTCATACTTTCATTGTTAAATAGATTCTAGTTTTCAGATCTAAGCATTTTGAGGTAACTTATGAGTAATTCTAATTTGATATCTTAAACGGAATGGCACGTGGCTATTCCATTTTGGGCACGCGGCCCCAAAAGGTTTCGCCACCACTCCCGCCTTTTTAACATTCTATTTCTCCCGCATTCTTAGCATGCTTTCGTGATGTAATAGTCAGCACACTCGGCGCGTATTCGAGAGGTCCGTGGTTAAAGTCCTGGCGAGGGCATTGCTATTTTTTCATTTTTCCTGCTTCCAAAATGTCTCTACTTAATGTCTCTACAAACTACGAATTGCATCAGAAGTTCTAAAATTCTAAAAATTAGATTTCGTGAAGCCAGTTTGAGTTATATAATTCTAGCATCCCCAACCCCGTATTTAAATACTTACCTCATCCACATTATTAAAAATTTGATGAGAATTATCGAGCCCATTAAGCAAAAATTGCGAAATAAATTTTTGTATCAGTACGCAGAAATTTATTGCAATGACATCAAAATTAGTTTGTTATTAAAAAATTAGTTTATTTACTTGATATCTCCATGGGCGGTACCTACGGATGTTTCCTGAATAGCTTTGGAATTATTTCCGTGCTACACTACAGCTTACATTTGGGTTCGTTTACATTTCACTCATAGTCAAGTCTCCAAGTATTTATATGCTCACATGTTAGCTAAGTTTAATTTTTATAACAGCTTTATATTTATTTAATATAAATGAACAATAAAATGGATTAGAACTTTTTTGCTTTCATACATTCGTTACAAATTCAACTTGTTAAGGGAATCCGGTACACAAACGTTTAAATTTTTTATTTATGAGTACTTTTTAATAATCCATTTCTTTGAAAAGCACGTTTTAATAAACATCACTTTCAGCCATCTCAAAAGACAATTTAAAGTTTGTAAGGTTTATCTTAAGTTTATAACAGTTATTTTGAAGTTTACGCTCTTTTTCTATCTTTCCTAGCTTCAGCTTACAATTCCTTACCAGAATGAGTTTTTAGAATCGTGTTAAATACAAAAGAGAAGGAGTAGTATTTAAGTCGAAGTTCCACTGACTTTGAGAGAGAGAATTAGAGTTTCTGAGTAATGTGTGTTTGCCTTGTGGCTACGTCACTCTAAACTGTTACTACGCTCGGCTGTATTACGTGCCCCTGATAGCTTCACTAGATAATTCGATATTTAGGGGCCAATTAGTTTAGATTTGTGTTAGCTTCGGCTAAAGCTCTTTAGTTAGTCATTAGTTAAGTTTTTATTTCTTACACTTTTGAGTTTAAGCCCAAGTGGAGGCTTTGTTGTATGCCATGAGAAAGGGGCTGACTGTATATCTTTTTTTTGAGAAATAAAGGGTAATTAACCTTTCTTGAGTTTACGTTTATATTCCTGAACTTGAACTGTTCAGGATTATTCGCTTAGCTGTTCACTAGGTTCCTTAACACTTAGTTAAAAGGGAAGTTTTTAAAATTTCAAGAATTCAGTTCATCAATTTGTATACTTTTTTATATACACGTATGTATTCTTGTCAGTTAGTTCAGGATTTACGAAAATAATGAACACAAAATTTTTTATAATTTTAAAAGGGAAAAATCCATATTTTTTTATTCACTTTTGCTATAAGGCAGTTATTTTTAAATTTTTCACTAAAAATTAAAGAAACTGAAGGTAAGTTACTTAAATTAGAACAAAGAGAAAGTGTGTTGAGAAGTTCATGCCTCTGTCTTATAATGAAATTGAAATAAATCTCTTTAGAATAGAAAAATCACGAAAACTTACAATTTGAAATCTCGCCTTTCAATTCATTTACAAAATGTTTTGCCTTATAACAAATATCTGCATAAACCTGATATATTGTAAACCAAATAAGGCATAATATCTGACAAATAAATTATATGTGCATGTAAAATGAAATTTCGAAATAATATATTATTATCTAAGGAAAAGTTTGTTCGAATTAATGTCATTTAGATTTAAAGCGATGTTCAAGTAATCAAGAAAGCAAATAATTCAAGCTTATAAGTTTAAATTTATATAGTTAATTCTTTAGTAATTTTTCTGCATGCAAATGGTAATTAATTGGAAAAGGAAACAAACATATTTTCAAAAACGACTTATTAAAATAACATAAAAACTACTGACTCAGTCAGCAACAATATTCTACTTTAATTTATACAAGGAAACTACATTTGATCTAGGGAAAAGTGCTAAATTTATGTTTGTTTTTAATTTACTCTCTTTAGGGTATAAATAACATGACTATTTTATAACTATAGATAAACTTAAAGTAAAAATATTAAACTAGTACATGTCCGATAAATGTGAAATGAAAAGAGGGTAGTATCACCTCATTGCAGTCATCTACGGTGTTTGTATTTTAGTTACTTAATTTTTTTATCTTCTTATAGTTAGTTTAGTAATTTCATATGCATTTGACTTACACATATCATTTATTTAATATACTAATTATATGAATCCTACAAGATTAGGTTAGGTTATTTAATTACGGCAAAGCCTCGAGGGCTATCTGCCTAAGGGGAGGGATGCCTTTCGTGGAGGACTTTCTAAGGGAAACTGGCTCGTATACACGTTACACATGGGGAAAACCACGAAAACACCCATGCAGCCAGCCCGTTCGCGGGATTTGAACCTCGGACCGAACTACCAGAGTTCAGCGACTTTACCGCTCGGCCGCTGGTGGGCCTGAATCCTACAAGAAAAACACTGCGAATATTTATTCATTA